TTGCAAATGTGCCCCAAGGAGGTGAAGAACACACCAAAATTAAGATTTCAGAGCCAAAGGCATTTGATGGGATGAGAGGCGCCAAGGAACTGGAAAACTTCTTATGGGACTTCGAGAATTACTTCTCTACTGCTCACGTCCCAGAAAAGGACAAATTGACCATAGCGGTGCGTTATTTCAGAGGAGATGCATTGTTGTGGTGGCGTACGAAAAATGCAGACGATGAAAGTGCTGGCAGACCCAAGGTTGATACTTGGGAGAAACTTCGTGACGCGCTGAGGGATAAGTTCTTGCCTAGCAACTCGTCTTGGGTTGCTAGGGATCGCTTGAAGCAGTTAAAGACAGACTGGTTCTATTTGGGACTATGTGAAGGATTTTTCATCCTTGTTGCTGGACATCCAAAACATGTCGGATGAGGATAAACTGCACAATTTCATTTTCGGAATGCAAGGCTGGGCACAAAACGAAATTCGTAGGCAGAAAGTTAAAGATATGCCTAGTGCAATTGCGGCAGCGGATGCAATGGTGGATTTTTGCTCAATTGGTCTAACTTTTAATCCTGTTTCTTCTTCTAAGTCAAAGAAAAAGGAGAAGAGTAAGGACCGGAAGGACAATCGGAAGCAAGATGGAAATGACAAAGGCAAAGGCAAGATGGATGCTTCTTCATCAAAAACAAACAAGCCAACGAGTGGTGAAAAGGTTTGCTAGACATGTCAAAAACCTGGACATCATGCACGAAACTGTCCAAATCAAGGAAAAATAAATGCTCTTCTTGCTGAAGAGGAGAAACAAGGAAAGGGACAGGAAGTTGCTGCTTATGCGAATCTGTTGCGGCTGTTGAACACTTTGGCTTGTGTAATTATGGCGAATGATGAAGAAGATGCTGCCAAGGAAGAGGTTGCATAAGTGAATGCTACGGGGGATGATTTGGCTGATGCTTTTTCCACACTAATGTATGCGGATCTGAAAATCAGAAACAAGAGTGTCGTGACAATGGTTGATACTGGAGCCATGCACACCTTTGTTGCCTCCAGAATTGTTCAAGAGTACGGGTTGTGAACTCAAAGGCGCAACCTGGTTATGGGGTGGCGCTAGATGTCCCGATGATATTGGGCCATTGGTCTAGAAAGTTCAACATGACTGTTGTGCCATTAGATGACTTCAATGTGCTATTGGGAATTGATTTTCTGAAGAAGAACAAAGTCGCTCCAATTCCTCATTTGGATGGACTTATGTTCATAAAGGAGACAAACCCAGGCTTTGTGAAAGGTATTCGGCCCTACGGGGATGAAAGAAAGAACGTTGGGATTGTTGTTTTGATTTCTGCCATTGCATTTGAGAAAGGCTTGAAGAGGGGTGAGGAGACTTACCTCGCTGCACTCGTTGAAGTCAAGCCAGATGTGCAGATTGAGGTCCCGGATTGTGTTGCAGATTTGCTGAAGGAATTCAAAGATGTGATGCCTCCACAATTGCCAAGGGAGTTACCATCGAGGAGGGAGATTGATCACTGCCGCCTGCGCGGCCTCCTTACCGCATGTCGCCCATGGAACTGACTGAATTAAGGAAGCAATTGTCTGGGTTACTTGATGTTGGGTTGATTCAACCATCGAAGGCTCCATACGGTGCTCCTGTTTTGTTCCAGAAAAAGCATGATGGTACGCTGCAGATGTGTGTTGACTATAGGACGTTGAACAAAGTGACTGTCAAAAACAAGTACCCGGTCCCTTTGATTCAAGATCTGCTGGACAGGCTCTCCAAGGCTAGTTTTTTTGCTAAGTTAGACCTAAGGTCATGCCATTGCCAGGTTAGGATAGCCGAGGGGCTAGATATGGTAGATATGGTAGCTTTGAATTTCTTGTAATGCCGTTTGGGCTAACCAATGCCCCGAACACTTTTTGTAATTTAATGAACAACGTTCCTTACGAGTATCTTGATGACTTTGTAGTTGTTTACTTAGACGACATAGTCATCTATAGTCGGACCCTTGACGATCATTTGTCTCACTTAAGGGAAGTGCGGGAAAGACTTAGAGCTTATCAGGTCTATGTCAAGATGGAGAAGTGTGAATTTGGAAGTCGCGAAATAAAATTTCTAGGTCATTTGGTTAGTGAAAACCAAGTGCAGATGGACCCAAAGAAGGTGCAAGCAATAGTTGATTTGCAAGCACCAAGCGGGATAAAGGAACTTAGATCATTTTTGGGCTTGGCAAATTATTACCGGAAGTTCATTGCGGGTAATTCAAAAAGGGTTGCTCCTTTGACGGATTTGCTTAAAAAGAATGTCAAATGGGTTTGGTCGGATTCGTGTGACAAAGCTTTCAATGCATTGAAGGAGGCCATTGCATCTGAACCAATCTTGAAGCTGCCAGATTTTGATTTGCCATTTAAAGTGCATACTGATGCTTCAAATTATCTTGTTGGCGGTGTGCTGGTCCAGGAAGATCATCTAGTTGCATTTGAAAGAAAAAAGTTGAACGATGCGGAGCAACGTTATTCTGCACATGAGAAAGATGGTTGCAGTAATTCATTGCCTTCAAGTTTGGCGAGTCTACTTACTGGGAACAAAGTTCGTGGTGCAAACAGACAACGTGGCTAATACATACTTCAAGACTCAACAAAAATTGAGTCCGAAGCAGGCCCGGTGGCAAGAGTTCTTAGTTGAATATGACTTCGTTTGGGTGCACAAACCTGGAAAATAAAATCAGGTTGTCGATGCACTCGGTGGCAAAGAGGTATTTGCTGCAACTTATGCACTTACTCGAAATGAATCTGATTTTCTGGATACAATCAAGTTATGTGATGTGAACGATCCATTGTATGTGAAATTATTCTACAAGCATGTTGTGAAACACTTTGGGGTTCCAAGGGATATTGTGAGTGATCGCGATCCGAGATTTACAGGCCGGTTTTGGACTGCTTTATTCAAAATCTTGGGGACTGATTTGAAATTCTCGACTACAAATCACTCACAAACCGATGGGCAGACCGAGCGTATCAATCATCTGCTTGAAGAGTACTTGAGGCATTATGTGACTGCTAATCAGAGGAACTGGGTTGAGTTACTAAACAGTGCACAGTTTTGTTACAACTTGCACAGATCTTCGGCAACTGAAATGAGTCTGTTTTTGAGATTGTGTTGGGAAGACAGCCTGACACACAGCTGGAAGTTGCTTAGTTGAAATCAGGGGGCAAGTGTCTTGCTGCTTATAGATATGCTCGCGACAAGCATGAGTTGCTGGCTGAGGCGCGAGACAACTTGAGAAGAGCGGCTAAAAGAATGAAAAGGAATGCTGACAGAAATAGGCGGCCTTTGGAGTTCAATGTTGGTGACAAGGTGTTGCTGAAGCTTACTACACAAATTTGAGAAGAAAATCAGTAGCATGACGCGTCATCTTGGTATGAGTCCAAAGTATGACGGCCCATTTGAAGTTGTAAAGAAAGTGGGTGAAGTGGCCTACCAGCTTAATCTGCCGGAACGTCTCGAAATTCACCCAACTTTTCATGTGAGTTTCCTGAAATGGTTCCATGAAGATGCTGAGGATCCTACAAGAGCGATGCCAAAACGTGCTCCTCCAATAGAGCGCAAGCAATTTGAGGAGACTATTGAGAAGATTTTGGATCACCGTAAACTAGGTCAATGCAAAAAGAACAGGCGGACAGAGTTCCTGGTTCAATGGAGGGGAAAGCAGGAGTGTGATGCAACTTGGGAGAAAGGACCGTCTCTATGGCAATTTCAGGATCAAATCAAGGCGTATCTGGATTCTGCCTCGTCGAGGCGACGAGCTCATCTGGTGGGGGAAGTTTGTTAGCCCCTCGACTTGATTGATCGAATATGGCATGGGCGTGACGAGGGATTTACATGATGGACCTCGGCACGGCCCTATGATGACCGTGGCATCATGTTGACAAGGCAGTCCGACATGGGTAGGTGTTGATAGGCATGGACTGTGGCACGACGGCATGTGGCTTAGGTGCCAAGGCATGACAAGACCATGGCATTGGCCATGGCAAGGCAAAGGCAACGGACAGCAAAAGCATAGCAAGGGCTGAAAAAACTAAGGCAAGCTAAGGTAGGGCGTGGCAAGGCAGATGGGCGCGGGCAAGGCAGTGTCATGGGCAAGCTGGGCATGCGGCAGTGGCAGACATGCGCGCAAGGCATGCTGCACGAGGACATGGCGCGAAGACACGATAAGAGTTGGCATGTTGACGTCAAAATTCAAAGCATGTGCCACGCACATGCAAGGCAGTTGGGCAGTTTCCTGTTTTTCAGCTTGAATTCCTTTGCAGTTGGGGATGTCAACTGCTGGTTAGGATAAGGTTGTGAGCCAAAAACGTTTGCATATATATGCTTAGGCTAGGCAGAGTGTTGGTTGTCTTTGGCTTTTTTTTGTAAGGCTTTTGTACGTGTTTCTTTGTAGTACGAGTTTAATACAAAGTTGGGAAGTAATTCATGTGCCTTGTCTAGTTTCTGTTGCCTTTTATATTCTAAGTATCAAACCAAAACGCAAGGGAAAAAGGAAGAGGGCTGAGTCATTGTCGTGTGACTGTCGTGCAGTGTCAAAACGGAAAAAAATTGACCCTGTAACAGTAACCATCAAGCTTATGTGGCAGTGGCTATGTAGCTTGAGGCAAGATGCTAAATGCTCTTTATCACAGATCGCTCTTTAGCTGCTTAGCTTGATATTCACTGCACCGAGATAGAATTCAACCCCGTGTTCTTACATTTCAAAACAGTTGATTGTATTACCTATAGATATTGTACTTGGGTGTATACACACTAGCTGCTACCAGGAGAACACTATTGCCAAACTGCATTCACCTTGTATGCATATCATGTTAGCTCACTAGGGCAATTACATACTTCCATTGTAACTGAATGAGTTGTCCATAGTTCAGTGTACCCTTAACCCTTACCGTTGTGCTTGATACCTTCTTCACTCACTCAAGAATTACTCTAGTATCTAGAGAACAGTGTTATAAATAGCGCTCGCCTCAGCGCTATTAGCACTGAGGCGAGGCGAGGCGAGACAGTGTCGCCACAGAGCCTCTGTTGCGTTGCGTTTCGAAATAGCGCTCGCCTCTGCCTGCGTGGCGAGAGGCGACAGTGTCGCGAGAAGCGACCATAGCGTCGCCTTTTGTTTTTTTT